AGTGCACCCGTGTCATGACACAGAGGTCAGAAGAGGGCTTCAGAGTCCCCTGGAACTGGAGTTAAGGACAGTTCGTAGCTGCCATGTGGGTTCTGGGAATCGAACCCGGGTCCTCTGCAAGAACAGCCAGTGTTCTTAACATCTGAGCCATCTCTCCAGCCCTGCCCGACTCATTTAAAGAAAAGTTTTGCCAATGCCTTCTATATCAGTGACAGAGATATATGAACTATCAAACAAAAACATTGCAGAAAATATTTCATCAGGACTGGGTTTGGTGACATTTGGCTTTAATCCCAGCACTCAGAAGGCAGACATGCAAATCTCTGTGAGTTGGAGGCTAGTCTGGTCTACATAGCAAGTTCCAGGTTAGGCAGGGCTGCACAGTGAGACCCTGTCTCAAAAAATTATCAACTGTGCCAAGAGTGGTGGTGCTTGGGAGGCAGAGGCAGGCGGATCTATATGAGTTCAAGGCCAGCCTGGTCTACATAGCAAGTTCCAGGCCAGCTGGGGCTACAGGGAGACCTTGTCTCAAAAGGACCAAAAAAAAAAAAAAATTATCAACTATATAAAGTGTTTAAGATTAAACTCGATGGGATTGAGCAGTTAATGATTGTAATCCAGATGAGCAATGCCATCATGGAAAGAGCCAAGATAGTTTTGAAAAAGAAAAATTAACTGAGGTAGGAGAGGACTTGCTTTAGCAGTAATCAGATTATGGTCTGATGTCACAGTGATTGACACAATGTGATTCTGGGCAGGAGTGTAGCTCAGTGGTAAAGCATTTGCCTAACATGCATGAGGCACTGAGTTTAATCCATGGCACTGGGGAAAGGGGAAATAATTTGGGGACAGGGACACAGATCAATGGAATACAATAGAGTTTTCAATTGCAGACTCATATGTTAAATTTTTTAACATTTATTTTGTGTGTGCATGAATGTGTGTGTATGTGAGTTGTGTATGTGCCACAGTTTGTGTGTGGAGATCAGAGGACAACTTGCAGGAATGGAGTCTCTTCTTCCACCGTATGGATTTTGGAGAACAAACTCAGGCCATCAGGCTTGGCAGTGAGCACCCTTGCCTGCCGCTGAGCTGTCTTGCCAGCTCAATATATACTTGTGTATTTCTAAATAACCCAGGAGTCAAAAAAGAAAATTGCAAGTTTGAGAATATTTAGAACTAAATAAAAATAAAACTTAATGAAATACTATAACATAGTCTGGAGGGAAAGTCATGTGTTTGGTTTGGGCCATGCTACATTTTTTTATACTTATGAAACCTCCAAGTGACCCCAGATTGTTTTAAGAAGATTCCTGAGGTGAAAATTCAGATCTAAGGGAACATTTGTCCTGAAGGTGGTGCTCGAAGACATGACAATGGATGAGCTTTCCAAAGAAGGTAAGATAGAAACCAAAAACTGAGCCCTTTGAAGTTTGTTACCACCCTTGGTGGCCTGGCTTCAGAGCTACTTGTTCCTTGGAGCCTCGTATCATACATTTGTTGTGTGACACTATTCCTGGGGAGATGCGAACAAACATCTACTCACTCCAGAGAGGGAGCTGATAACAGAGCAAAGCAACGACGCCATCGAAGTCCAATTTGGTGAATCAGTGAGTTTATTGGGATTTCTTACAGGCATATGGGTGAGCAATTACTTATAGGAGCATGTGCCACTCAAAGGTGGATGCATCAAAAGCCCACCCTCATAAGGGTGACAACTCATGAAAGCTAGAACCCTGGAGCTATCTGCATGACTTGCAGACAGCTGGACAGGTCAGAGGGTCTGTTCTCAGGAGCCCTTACTCCTTATATAACTTCAAGATGGGGAACCTTGTGAATCTTGTAAGTTTGGGGTACTTCCTGAGACTTTTGAGTTGTTTAC